TAAAAGAAGTGTTCTGAACAACCAAGACTTTAATAAATCACCTTTAATGAGTACACATGATTCTTTAGTTGTGAGAGGGGAGGGGGGGGGCTAAAAAGAGAGGGGGCGGGGCTTAACAAATTTCTTCCTTTAAAGAGGGGGGAGCTTATTAGAGAGGGGGGGCTTATTTGAGAGGGGGGCTAAATAGAGGATTTAAGGTTGTTAAAAAGGCGGCAAATACCTTGAGACCCGGACAACACATGAAGTCCAATAGGCAATTTGCAACAAACAGTCACTTCCTGATATATCACTTAGATAACGAATCAGTTCAGCCAAAGGTCTCTTGGGAAAGGCTCTGCTGGATGGCAAACAAACTATAAATTGCTTCGTATCTCGAAATCGAAAGCATCTCATAAGGGGAAAAAATATTTCGGAAACGCTGTTAAATATGCTTGATATAAAGTGCAATTAAAGGAAGCAATTAGGAAGCTTTCTCTTCTAACCCTCTAGCCCTAGCAATAATGAATGGTCGACCGCCAATGAGCCTTTAAGCGGCGCATTAAAATTGTTTATGGGGAAGCCAGGATGTGTTGTTATTTCTTGCAATAACTTGACTAACTTGACTATAAAAGTCAAAACTTTAAATATAAATTCTGGATCATTTTTTCTTTCAGTTCCAGACGGTTGCGGAGGATATGCTATTTTGAACCAACTGAACCGAAGACAGTCCCTACCCAGGGGAAATGCACGGCCGATTTGCGACTAGAAAGGCTTTGCCACCCGTTGGTATCGATTCACGGGTCTTGCTGGTAACGGAATTGCAACCAGTCCTCCACCTATCAATCGCTGTGGTACCCACGCTCCCGGTTGGATGGAGGGAAGCTATCCAGCAATTAGAGGCCAGGTGGTCATTCGTAAAGTGTGTTATCACTGGAGTAATGACAAGTGCTTATGGAAAAACAATATCAAAGTCAAGAACTGCGGCGCATACTATTTGTTCTACCTACGCCCGACCCCCGTCTGTCATCTTCGTTACTGTGGCAACGCATAAACAAACAATAGTGCTATACTGATACTTGCATAGTGCAGTTCGTTTAATAGCGAATCTAGAAAGGGAGGCGGCCATGTAGTCTCCGTTACTGTGGAAACGCATAAATAAGTAGTAGGTCCGTACAATTCAACGCTTAAAATTTCATCAAATTTATGCTCAGGTCAAACGTCGAACTTCACATGAGCCGAACTTAATTGATCATTTACTAACATCTTAGTAAACATCATAAAGGTGTTTTTGTCATAACTAGTAATACTAAATGATGGCCATTATTTTAAAAACGAACAAATTTAAATAAATTTTCATACAAACCAATAATGATATGCTTTTGAGTGACGCTTTTTGAACTTCATTAGCATATTGAAAGTATATATAGGAAATCAAATGGTTTCGAGCTCTGGGTTTCGAGTGCAATTTGGAAAACAAATCAGCACGAGCGAAGCTTAAGAATTGAGATTCGATTAAGATGTTAAATTGCACAAGCCTTTCGAGGCGAGTGCAATTTTTCTTAATTTTTAAGCTTCACGAGTGCTGATTTCTTCAAATTGCACGAAAAATTATTTGGTTTTCTTTTAATAATATGACCATCAAATTTTTTTAGGCCAAATACAAATTCTCATTTCATGGCGTGCGTTCGTATGATGAAGCGAAATTTGCTTCGGTTGTCTGTTGTTAAAAATACCACTAATAATAATAATGATAATAAAAGACATTTATTTCAAATGTAAGTAGTTTTGATTTATTTACTAATTTAATTTTTTTATTTACTTTTTGCACTGCGATTTCAACTTTTTTTACTGTGATTTCACGTTTTATTACATCCATTTTGAAATCACAAGCAAATCCTGCAATCTGATTGGTTCCCTGCAGCAGTGATTTCAGCATAAATTGCACGATTTTGAGCTCTAAATTGCACGATTTTGCACATCAACTGATATGAACCAATCACAAGAGAGACATGTCATTTTCTAGCCAATTATATCAAGGAATCCATCTGAGTGTTGAGCTCACCGCTTCTTGCGAAAAAAAAAAGCCACGGCTCAAAAAATGTTTTCTGAAGAACGATTTTACCGTCAAAAGTCTTCAAAAAAGACTTAAAAAGCCGTAAAAAGGACTTAAAAAGACCAACTGATCACTTAAAATCGTAGAAAGCATCTTTGTAAAGTAACTGCTTAAGTAAGTTGAAGATATTACAGCGAAAAGCAGTGGGAGAAAATGGAATCGGCATCTTTTGAATGTGACTTCTTGGCGATTGATCGTGGAAAGTGGTTTCCTTTTCAATCTTTAAAGCATAACAACACATCGA